GGATTACCCAGATCAAGCGCTCATCGAGAATATGGCCTATAACGTCGCGCAGAACATAGAACCTGCCCTCGCACGTGAGTGTGATGGGCTATGTGTGGGGACAGCCTGTCGAACCGCTCCTCGCGTTGCTGGACGCAGATGGTGGAGGCCGAGGTGGATTCGACTTGATCCTCCTCTCGGACCTTATATTTAATCATTCTCAGGTGCACACACTTTTTTACTCTACCATATTTTAATCTAAGATGAAATAACGACGTATATGCAACGAAAACAAAGCATCGTGCGTTGCTCAACACGTGTGAGCGAGCCATCGCTCCCCACAGGGTCGATGATGGGCGGGAACATGGACCGGCGGTTGCGTACTCGTATTTTACACCCATCATCGACCCCACCTCGCCCAACGCGACATGGGATTCTTTGAAATGGCCCGAGATACAGGGTGGTCATGCGAAAAAGTAGTGACGGAGTGGTTCCCAGTACGTCTCACCCGTCGTCGCCGCTATCCCTGGTCACAGCAAGCTGAGTCATCTATTTTTGTCGTGATCGCTAGCCGATGTTTCCGGAGGACCCGGGTGAGGAGGAGGTGCGGTCTACTGTGCATGGATGGAAGTTGACACGAAAATGAGGTCGGAAGGGCCAAGGGGCTGCGACAGAGGCTGCCGCTCTCTCAAGAGGCATCTTGCTGGCATTTTCGATGGCACTGCTATTAGTGAGCCTGATACCGCAGGCCCATATCTGCAAGACAGAGTCGCTTGCTGCAATGGCTGACCTTCTTGCTATGGGAAATGACAGAATAGGTAAGGAGGGCCAAAACGTATATACAGGCCCGAAAAAAATCGAGGTCTCCACCAACACGTCGATAGTTGGTCACTTGAGAAAAACGAGGAGGATGTGCTCCGAGGAAGCAGACGGTCCTGGGTAGCTTTTTTCCTCCGTGCGAAAAAGTCTTTTGTGGATCGATGATGAGGAAGAGGCCACCGGGTTAGCCAGATTGAGATAGGTTGTGCATATTCCGAAGGTGAGGAGAGCACCGCCAAGAAGATTGTATATGACACCGAGCAGAATGAAGAGTACGCCATTTGAGGGAAAAAAATAAAACAAGGATCCCTCCACAAAGAGAGCGATAGCCAAAGCCACGGCACACAACGCGAGACAACGATGCCGACGGTGAATTAAACCAACCAGGTGAGAAGGTGTCGATAAAACCTCGCTGCTCGACGTCAGACCTCTACCGTTGACGGTGAACATGGAGTATCATTTGTAAGCAAGGAGATAAGCACGTGATTGCCCGTCGCTCCTCCCAACCGTCACCGGTTTGCTCGCTCGCTTGCCAAAATGGCTTTGAATATCGTCTTGCGCCAGTCTAGAGCAACACTCAAACGTCCTCCCATCCCTCTTCAACTCGGTACGTGGGTACTCCCCTCCTAACTTTTAAAAACCACCTTTAAAAAAAACCGGGTCCCCCATCATACAGCACGCCATTACTCTACCCCAATTTCGCCTACGTTCCCGGCGGTCGTACGTCCCTTTTTTTCTGCTCGTCTTCCGACTTTTAATTACCTGTGGTATAAAGCGATATATAAGGGCACTGTCAACGATCCGACGACTTTCCCAACACCTTCAAAGTCGCATGGGTCTTACCACTGGACCTTTGAACGTCTGCTCTCCGCAGGACTCGTCCCGCTCACTGCCGCCGCATTTGTGACCTCAGGTTCACCCGCGCCCCTCCTCGACGGTCTACTCGGCATCGGTCTCATCGTGCATAGTCATATCGGGGTGCGTTCTCCCCAAACGAAAAAAAAAGGCGAATATGAATGATGACGATTTTGTATGAAAAAAAAACAGTTTGATGCCATCTTGGTGGATTACGTTCATAAGCGCAAATTTCCTCTTCTCGGCCCGTTGCTCACTTGGACGCTCCGCTTGACGTCGTTCGCCGTTGGTGTGGGCGTGTATCAATTTAACACGAACGATATCGGTCCGTTGTTTTAGGCTTTTGTGCACTTTGTTATCGTTTTATTCTTATTTCGTTTCCACAGGTCTGACGGAACTCATCGCCGCGTGTGGACCGCATGAGGCAATGGGCATACAGGCTTCTCTATCGTTTAATTTTCATGTACCAGAAACCAAAGCAAACTATAAGTTTTTTTACTCCTGTTCAAATCGAAAAGAGTTAATTTGCAAAACCTCATGTGATAAGTCGAATCAGGGGCGTCCCCGCTTTGCCTTTTCTCTTTCTTGTGACTTTGCGTACACATTAGCCCTCCCTGCGGGGCCTCACCTTGCCCTTCCTAAGCCTCTCTTGGATGGTTTCAGTTCCGTTCAGGTCCTGCATTCTCATGTTCGACCCTCCGCACTTTTCTGCAGGACCGAGGCCCTGAGCCCTGAACAAGTAGACCTTGCAGCGTGGAGCTGAGGGTGAGCTCGTCGTCGTATCCACCCCCGCCTGACAGGGGCGCGCGCCGCTGAGCTGGGCCGACATGATATTCCACCACCCGCCCGCCGTCCATATCCTGTTGAAGTTGAAACTGCCCCATTTCTTCATTTTTCGCCTCTCTTCCTGCTTTCCATCTGTGCCGCGTTACCTCTGCGCGACTGTTCGGAGCAGGCTCTTCGCAAGAAATGGTTTTTGGTTGCCTATATTAGCACCTGTCTCCAGGTACACAACCCGGTTTTTTTACTTGCAAACGCCAATGAGACATTCACGAGAGAATTGGCATCTTGGATTGGGGGGAAATCGTTTGGGGAAATATTACGGCAGTAGGGTAGATACAAGCGATAACATACATTTTACACGTGTTTGTACATGTGATTGGCCATAAATGCTTGTCGCCTCGCCTCGCCTCCAGAGAGAAAAATAGCCGGTTCTACTCGTCATAAAATACTATCAGCCGCCCGTTTGTTCGTCACCCGTGATTAGACATTTGGAACCCACAGCACCCTGAAAAAAAAAAAAAAATCCTGCACTGCGATACACGACCCGTCCCAAACTTCCCGACTTGGGGATTCAAAGAGCACCACGGTGCGACGGGCGTCAACTGCGCGTCAATAGACTGGCCCGTACTACGAGATGCCGGCCCCTAACGGCAGTATCCGTGCTAGATTATATGCATATTATCGAGGTAGGCGTCAGAGAAGAGGGAGGGAAAGTGAAAGGATAAGGATGGCTTACCGAGGTGGTCAAGCACGCTTTCTAATAGGTGTGGCGCAGACAAGAGCGCTGCAGTTTCGGCAATAGCGCCAATGATAAAGTAATAGAGGGACATGATAATCGTCGGGACGTTTTTTTAAAAATGCGTCGGTTGGTGTTGTGGGTTAGAAAAGTCCGAGGTTAGTGCAAGATTGAGTGCAAAGGGGAGAGGGCGGAAGCGCGTTAAGGTTGGAGAGGGAGGAATGAAGAAGCGGGGACACCCGGAAGTAGAGAAGGGGAAAGGGAAGGTATATAGCTGCGAATGCGAATATCCCCGAGTGAGGGAGGGTATTGATATACCTTTTGTTTGGAACCCTCCCATCTCTGGTTAGAAATCGGAGGGATCACCAAAGCCCACATGCCAGTCTCGGCGCTTTCCTGACGCTTCTAAAGTTGGAAAATTGTCCCGATTTCTCCCTTTGCTTGCCATTTCGTTTTCTCGAATATAGGAGGAAGAAGGAGGCAACTGGCTTGGATCAGGAAGCCGGACTGCCTCGGGACCGGAATCGGAACCGGAACTTTGGGCAATTTGGTAATCCAACCGCACGGAGTGGGTCAAGACGGTCCGAAATGCCGACAAGCGCCCGTCCGGTTTTGGAGGTGGGGAGCAAGTCGCGTCACCTCTCTCGGTTTGACTTTTTTTTTTTACGTTCTGCGAATCGAGTTCATCTAGTTCTGAAAGGGTTGGTCACCCAAGAAAAAAAAAGTATTGGAATGGGATATTCACACTAAGTTAAGTCGGATTGACCAACCCCTGACCAAGAATGCCAAGCCGGGAGCGTGGCGTTCAGATGACTCGTAATTTGACTTTAACCCAAGTTGCGCCGTAGACACGTTGCACACATCCGTACTGCGTGCCGTGATGTGTCATCGATAAGATCGCAACTAGCGTTGCAATGTGTACTGTGTGCTGCGTGCATCGGGCTCTCTTGATGGATAACAACTTCCTTTGCTGCGTGCGCAGCAGTTATGCCGTGGTAGCGTGTGGCCATTTGATTTGGGAAGGGGTGTAGTTAACGCAGCAGCAGTTCGACGCCCAACGGCGCCCAAACAACACAACATAAGTCTAGAAAATAATGAAATCAGACACGAGCCTAGACTTAATCGTTCTCATGCTCCCCAGTGGCGAAAATGGATATGCGTGAAGATGGGGACCTATTAGTAACGGTGACGGCATAGAAGGGCTGATTCGGGTCGGTATTGCTATTGACGAAATAACCCTTGCCATGAAAACCATGACTCGAACTGATCTGTGATAAATCGGATGGGTGAAACGCGTCGCACATACTTCACGCGGCCTGTTTCCAAGTATGTCTAAGATCACTAAAGAGGCCCAGGATAATGAGAAGCATAAAAGGGGCGTTAGGAGTTGACGCAGGCAGGAAGAGAGAGGCCAGGACTCAGGAATCGGGACAAGTGTCTTTCGCAAGTAAGTCAAAGGCCCGCACCGGCCACTGGTGGTGGCATGTGTAGATGTTTATTGAGGTCATCAAAGCAGGTACAAGGGCTACTCAGTTGTGGGAAAGCACTGAAAGAATTGTGTGGTGGCAGCAGCGAGATGTCATGCGAGGGTGATGGGGAAGCTTGAAGCTTGGGGAAGGCCATGCCTCGGGGGTCACCCCTAAGAAACCATGCCGAAGAGATGGGGCTATGAGTTCCACAACACCTTGTTCAAGTGCACAAAAATGGGCCGTCTAATTGACACCTCATACAAAGGGGACATGAGAGTAGGCCGTGGGCTTGCACCCCCAAACAGCTATTCGTGGTCGGAAAGTCTGGTTTCTTACTCATTGGAAATGTAAGTTCTTAGGCCTGCTTAGCTCAGTGGTAGAGCGCGTCACTTGTATGTCATGTGATTCATCCATGAAATACATGACGAGGTCAGTCGTTCAAACCGGCTAGTTGGCAAATTTATTTTTCACCAAGATGGTTACATCCGATGCCGTGTTTTTTCCCTCCTGGTCGTGCTTGTCTGTTGTGACCAACAAGGACAAAGGCTCGATCGGATTCGTTGAAGTAAAATCTGCAGGACTTTCGAAATTTCAGTGCCCTTGAGTTTTGACCTGTGGCGGTGGCACGTGCAGTGGCGACATTTTTCAATTTGAGTGTGGATCACACTGGCATATCCAGATCTAGGTTTTAAAGTGCGCTTCTCAGTTCGTTTCATACCAACATCCGTGCGCACGAGGGCATGAAGCTCTCTATGGCCATTCTCAACTGCAAATTCTGATCTGTTTTACAACCACTCACGTAACGACTAGTACGCTAAGAAAACTTCAGCCTAAAGGTCGTTGCTCTCTCCTGCCCAGGTCCTCGGTACCATAACACCGCGTTCGCTTGGGTCCTTCGCAGGAGATGTCACTGATCTTAGCATTGGCAGGTTCAGGTCTTCCGAACAGTTCAGACGCATGACCGACGGTCTTTCTCATTTGCTAGTCCGACTCGTGGATTACCCGGGGTCTCAGCCAGGTCCCAAAATCGGAACTGATCTAGCACTGTGTGGATTCTGTCTGCCCCAAAAAGTATCCCTAGTCGTGGGCACCTTTTAACAGTGGTCTGACTCTTTCCCTTCCAAATCTGACATACATTAATCTGCACGGGCTTGACTGTAAAAACGTTTCGCCAGTGTGTACTTCTCTCTTGGCTTGTTTAGGCGCGGCTGGTAACGTGGTTGAAGTGAATGTAATCGATCGTTCTCCGAACAAACTACTTCAGCTGTAAGCGCCATAGTGGGGTGTATTGGAATCAAATCTTCTGGTTGGTTTGAGTCCAGCTTGCAGACTCTGTAAGTATACTATTCGCCCTTCCCTGTCCAATGCAAAAAGCTCAAAGCAATCCCAGGATCAGGCCTTGTCACTACATAAGCCACCCACCATAGCAGCTGGACCGGGCACCGCTTGCCGGTGCCAGGATGAAGCAACTACTATTTGAGGGTGGCGCTGGCATGGGACTCGTACACTTAAAAAAGGGACCCTCCCTACCGTTTGTTTTTCAACCAACTTGCCCCATCTCTCGAAAACGCATCTCTATCCAAACAGAAAATGTTCTCCATCTCATCTAGTTCGGCTCTGCCTTCACGAACGAGCAATCAGCGACGACCCATCTGGGAATGTGGCTATATTGCCCACTCGTTCGGCTGTTCGGCTGCCGAACAGTATCACAACCGCTTGTTCAGGATGGATTCACGAAGCATAGTTTGGTCTGTAGAACCGGTGGGGAATCTCCGGGCCTTAGTGGCCTCCTCTACAGATTACCGGGGTCAGGCTTGGACCATAGACTATATGGCCAAGGATACGGGTCCAGTGCGAGTGATACCACAAGGCATTTGGGTTTCCCAATCCCGGATGGACCACGCACCAGAACTGCATCGCCCCATCTTTTTTGTCCGTCGCGATCGGGGTGACATAGGTCTTCCCTTGATTGACGCGGCTGAGGGTCACTGCGAATCTCTTCGTGACGCAGAGGAAACAGTCCTTGTTGGCCCAGGTCACACTACACAGATTCATATAGGTGTGAGTTAAATTCGGCAACAACTATACTCAGGGAGATGATGGACGATCTGCCTTTCTAATTGCAGTGGCATGGCTATGCCCATGGAATAGCCCGTACATGATTCAATCCCAAGCTCAACGACGCAGAGGAGGCTTCATCACCAGGCTCGAGACGTTCGTAACGTATGTTGCAGAAGTCGTGAAGGAGTTCATGGAGGTAACCTGATCTCGCTTCCCAAAAACTCTCGTTTTGATTAATTTATTAATAACGGGACAAAACTGCCAGGAGGTCAAAAATCACCCTTTCAATTCCTCTCACACAAAGTGGCGTATCGGGAATGGTGGGATCACCCCTCGCGATGTCACATTGATCGGGGTGGTCGAAGTCTCCAAAGGCCTTTGGATGCCAATCTTGCAGTTGAATGGCGGATTTACTCGCTCTGTGGCATTGTACTAAGGATTGACGTGTCAACGGTGACAACGGAGCACCTTATTTTAGCAGTATCTCATAAATAGCTTGTGGCGTCAGTTTACTGTATCTGAATGAATCCCGCATGAATGGCTATGAAATAGTGATTAATTCTACATCACAGTATCACTAGTGGTAGCTGTATATACCAGGACGTGCTTCAGTTGCTTATGGTTCAGAGTCACGTGATGGCACATGGCGTAGGAGCGCCTGGTGCGCGTCTTGGGCCATGACTCGGACAAGCCCAGCACGATGTTTCCCACCTCGTCCCAAGTTGCCGCATATTCACGCGTTCATTTGGTGGCAGTGGTTCTTTCTCTTTTGGCATCAAATTGGCTGAAGTGACGGGAACGAATTTGAACGGTGTACCGGTGACCTTCGGGCCATTAGTTTAGGGCAGGTATTAACTGCCGACTTGTCATTGTCCGTCAGCATGGAGCGTTCATGAAGACTTCTCACTTTCCGAAAGTACTGTAGTTTAAGCTCGCCGAACCTGTGCTTCTTAAAAAAAAAGTATACCGAAATGGAGTCGCCTGAATGAAAACTATTGCTGGTCGTCCAAGTGGTCGTCCATTTTCTTTCTCCGAGTTGACTCGGCTTTTTCCCTTTGATGGCGACTGCAGTGCCCACGATCACCGTTCACTCCCTCTCCCTCCCCGTTCCTTATCAGGCGTTCTCTCGCCACACTTTAAACCTGGTCTGCGTTGTGGCCAAGTAGTAAAGCTATTTTCCAAACCAAAATTTCAAAAGGCATACGTATCTGCGATTCGCTGCAGTGCAAACCCGCGGGACCTCCGAGAGTGCCCATTTTCGATGCCTGAGATAATAACATAATTCGACTATCCGAGGCTCTTCTAGTTTGTGGCGGTGGCGGGCTTTTTTGACTTGCGTGTATCCAGGGCGACAACATTAACCGAGATAACAGATCACATATCCAGATTCAACACCAGTTTGAAATCTGCAATTCCCTCTGAGCAGTCTCGAACTGCATTTGCTCCACCCAGTGCCACAAGGACGTTCGTCGCGGATACTTTCATTCAGATGTACCAAGATAGGCCTGCGCGCGACGACTCGGATGGCATGGGCAGGCGTCAAGAGAATGCGGTATTAGGAGATAGTGTCGTGCCGTAGGTAGGCCATGTGCTCTATGGCCCCTGTGAGGTCTGTCTGAATCAAGGTCAGTGATACCCAGATAGCGAACAGGAAAGGCTATTTTGACTGATTGGCGATTGCGGGGAGAGTAACACTGGCAGGGCTTCCGAGAACGGGTTCGTCCATGCGCCGATGCATCTGAAAGACGGTCACACCAGAACACTATACTAGTACCTGACGCAGGTTGGTGCAGCGGTGTGAGAGAAAAGGGAGGAGCAAGGGGGAAGAGCAAGGGTGCAGGTGCCCTACACGGGATTGGTAATGTAAGTACACTCCAGACCAAGCGACTGGCAAGAGACGGAAAGACTCTTGAGTATCTGAAAAACAGTGCAGGAGGATCCAAGCCATGATAAAGCTTGCTGTGTGCGGCCTCCCTCCCGGGTCCACAGTGATCGATACTGTACTGAATGTGTCTTTTTTTTCAATTTCACCAGATGTACGTTGACAAATGTCTGGTTGCATACCAGTAAGCAACTCTTAGCTACTGTAGACAGTCGTAGACACCGGACCGTCTCGTCGCAAACACATCCCCACTGCAGCCCGCCGGACAAGCCTAGTATCCTTTGCGAGTACCGTATGTATTCTTCTCAGGGACCTACCAGTGGTCCCAGCTCAGTTCCCTTGTCGCGAATGTCGGATCCGCAATAGATTGGAGATAGCAAAGGTACTAGTAGGGATTTTTGGATAGAAAAGAGCGAGAGGAGAGTTTCATGAAGTTGCGATTACGTCAGTGTCATAACGGAAGCATCCGGCGGCGTGCACCGAACCAGGTCGAGCACCACCGGGTCCGATTCCTCTCGTTTGGATCTCATACAGTATCCATCAGCCACGTCATGAATCAGACCAGTAGAACAAGGGGCTCTCAGAGCAGACCGGATATATTTTTCTTTTTTTTTAGAATACATACACCTCGATGATCACTTTTTTATCCACATGGAAGATCTAGCGAGGCCATTTCACGCTCAAACGTCTGTCCACAAAGCTTCGTCACCATCATCTCCCCGGCGGGGATCCTCTTTATTTTCTTCTTGCACGCCTGCAGCAGGAGCAGCAGCAATGGAGGCGGGGTAATTGGTGCCAACGCCATCCAAAAAGGACAGACAGCCCCGCCCACAACCGCGCCACAAGAGCGGCACGCCACCTATCGTCTCGCCCACACGCACTCCCGCGAGTTCGGTCACCCATGTGAACCGTTCCTCCGCCGGCAGGACGAACGGCGGGCCGAGACGCGCCCATGTCGTGGTCGTGATTGCGGTAGCCTGCTGCGCAGCAACGCCAGAATGGTGTCGCGGGGACGGACAGCGTCCAATGATCTTCTGCTGCTCGTTCACAGCTGCGTCGTCGGCCAGAGACGAACGCAGGCGGTTGCGACGTTCTGACTCAGAGTTGGGCAACAGGTTGGCGAAAGGAAATAAGGTCCCGACGCCCGACGTTGTGGCGCGAGAAAAGGCGTGTCGTCGTGGGGCAGATACTGCTGTAGGGGCGAGGCGCGCAAAGAGCTCCGCGTCGGTGGGGGTAAGCGCTCCTTCCTGAAGTGGAAGTTGGAAGTGGTCTTCGAGTGTCGTGGGTTGTTGTTGCACGCGCGGAGTTGTCGGTGCCAACAAGCGCTGTTGGCTTGTCGAAGAGGGCGTAAGGAGGTAGCGTAGGACCACTTCACGCAATGGTGGCACGCAAAAGTGCACGCGTGTTGTACTCTCTACCCCTTTGGACGCGTCCCGTGTCGCGGGGTAAGCAGGATCTGGGTGCCATGGATTTGTGTGCACTTTGAGGTTGGTAAGAGTCATGTTCGTCATCTC